TACGCAGTATACTAAACATTCTATTCCTAGTGGCCTTGTCATTGACCGACTAAAAACAAGTGCCTCAATAATCAAACTAGAACGAAATATCGCATCTCATAAATAATAGACTTGTTTATAAATATGGAGGCCCCTAACATTTGGGGGCCCTAGACAAATGTCTAGGTAAACTGCCCCCACAGCCGGCCCAGTCCGTATACCACGTAAACTTTAGAGGGATTAACTTGACTAACTCGTGAAAACATACTCGGTATATCCTGATGAACGTGGTTTCTTAAATCATTGGCGTGTAAACGCACCGAATAATTATTTTTGCGTTCACAAATCACAAATTTGAAATTTTTGCTACTCCCTCCGTCCCGCTATGATTGTCCCATTTTATCTTTTCGATTCGTCCCACTAAGATTGTCGCATACCTTATTTGGTAAAATTTGTGTGGTTCAAATGATTCTTACTTTATTCTCACTTTATCAATTGAATATCAACCACATAAACCCACTTTTATTAATAAATGTGTCACCTTCTCTTGTCACAAACTTAGGGGGACGGAAGTAGTGTTTCTGTCTGTTTATATTTTTGGAATTCAGCCTTATCTCAAAATTGTAAAGCAATAAAATGTTATATTAAGATTTATGTTACTTCACTATTAAGTTGACCTTTTAGGATGAAATCTCAATTTTAACGTGATATCAAAGCCAAATCTTATTCATAATTGTGAGATTTTGGGAAAATGTACTCCAATAGGAGTCTTGGCTGTATATTTATATTAAAAGAGTTTAATACATAATAGGAAACAAATATGCCTAATAAAATTCTATTACACCCCCCAAACTGTGCGGGAGATACACCGCGCAAGTTGTCTTTTAAAAAATAAAATTGCTGACTAGAAAGACTTTTAGTAAAAATGTCACCTAACTACAACTGTGTAGGGATGTACTTCACAACTAAATCTCCATGAGCCACACGCTCTCTGACAAAATGATAATCTATCTGAATGTGCTTGCTCCTAGCATGCTTGTGACACCGCTCCCGAAGGTCCTTGAAAATTTGATTTGAATATTCAAAGCTTATGTATTGGATTTCTGATTCCCAAACATTTTGTAAAACGATCAATGTTCTACGTAGTGCATGGTTGAATATCGTACTGTTCAAACTCGTACATTAGTGTCGGGTTTCGCAAATACTTACTCGGGACTTATTAATAAATAAAAGAGCCCAACATTATCTATATAAGTGATCGAAGGATTAAAGAAGAATACAAATGCCTATAACCCCATCTTTGGCATTTTTGAGCTAAATAATGGGAGTAGGATTTTCCTTCTATAACATCCATCAAGTAAATTATTGGGATGAGCCTACACATATTGGAGGTCAATAATGTGATTTAGGAAGTTGACTTGTTCTAAATAAATTAGGATGAGTACAAAAAGACATCTTTGACAAAGATAAAACAATAGGACCCATCTTCCCATTTTTTGGAAGTATTGATAGACATTTTGGACCCCAAATTGAATGGGACCATTTGGGAACCATCCCACATGACCTTGGTACCTGCAAAACAAAGGAAAATGGGTGAGACAAAGATGTGGGGCGGACTTTTGACTCATGAACTACAACATTACAAAAAGGAAATAAAAGAGGAGGTCCACACCATGTTTGATTGCAATCAAATACCCTACCCTTCTTTTTGGTGAACCACATGCTCTCTTAGCATGATTGAGGCCTCCTAATACACTCCCCCTACACCCCATTCGAACTCCCAAGATAAGAGAGAAAGAGAGAGCCACATACTCCAAGGGAGAGGTGAAGAGAGAAGCTGGCCGCAGGACTCGTTTTCCAGAAAATAGGGCTACTTGTTTGATCCATAACTTGAGCTTCACTCGTCCAAATAAGGCGTATGATATACCAAAAGAAAGCTCTCAAGACGAGGAATCCGTGAAGGTCTGGTTTGCATAAATCGGAGTAGTGTAAGGCCTCCAAATCGACCGATCAAAACACGACCTCGCAGAATACGTTTTTGTATTCAAAGTAAGTTTGAATCCAAAACCTTCCTCTCTATTGTCTAAATCATATAAATGATTGAAGAACTATTATACACTGATTGAAGTGTATAAAATGTTATTATTATGTGACTTTAATTGTTGGAAAGGTTAGATACTAACCTAGACAAAACCTTGAAAGGTTAGGGAACGAATTCGTCGGGAAACACCCGTTCTAGGGACTGTTTTTGCATTTTCGGTTAGGAGTTGAACTAGCACTTTGAAGGGGCTGTTTAACACTCCATTCCAAGCAAGGAATCAGTTCCAAATCCACCTTGACCAAAGCTTTGACCATTGGACCAAGAAGGGAAAGTTTAAAGCTCAATTGAGGTGAGGATTGACATCTAATTGCTTACAACTTGTAGGTTAAGCATGAGATTACCTAAATGCTTAAATCATGATTTTTCATGGATTATGATGACTATATATTGATGAAATATTGATATAGTTGCCAAAGAATGAATTTGGAATGATTTGAGAAAGTATGAATAATATGAGATTAAATGAGTATAAATGAACTATTTTGTGAAAATGGGCATTTTGCTCATGTATGAATCATGTGGATACATAAATGAATATTTGTGTATTGAGATTGAATACTTAAGTTGCTGCTACATAATTATAAATATGTAGAGAATTACAAACAATGAGGATAATGGTACGATAACAATAATCTTAATAGTATTGGAATACTAGTTAGTGATTATTGGAACTTGTTGATTAAATTGATCCTAGGGATTGGATTGTATGAAAGGTACTTGAATGTAGTTCAAGTGTATATGATAACTTAGTATGGAACTAAGGTTAAGTTATGGGGAGTCTTTAAGGATGACCCATGGTAGTTTAATGATATGTCAATTCTAGGCATAGGGTTGCTTGAGAATTGGACCTTAATGCATGGTGATGTGATAGAGCCGAGCTCTAGAATGCATGTAAGGTGTAGACTTGGAGTCTATGTATTGTATAGCTAGAGCCGAGCTCTAGGACTTGCGTGGTGATGTGATAGAGCCGAGCTCTAGAACGCAAGGTAGGGAAATTGACCCGAGGTATATGAATTGTATGGTGATGTGGTAGAGCCGAGCTCTAGAATACAATGTCATGTACTAGGGTTGGACTCTAGGAGTTGTCGTGGCTTATAGTCACGGGGTTGGGAATGATGATTTCCAAATGAACATGGGCCCACGGGCCGGCTACTTGACTTTTATATAAAGTAAGTATATTTTTAAACGGGGTAACTTAGGGTTACAATCATAATATACTATCACCCTATTTGAGGGTCTTGTGTTTGAAATACTTGTTGTATATCTATTAGATGCCTGCCACACCAGCACTTTATAGCCCTATAGAGTGCTGACCCCTTCGGGGGCGTCCCACCACCATTTTTCAGGTTGAGGCTAGAGCTTGCTTCCTGTGCTCGTTGCTCGAGAGATCATCTAGGAGCGAAGACTTGGTTCGTGCTTCCTCCATTCGGATTTTAAACATTAATAAACATGCTCATGGATATTTTATTATAGAGCTTGCGTGCTCATGAATAGCCCTGTGTGGCCCTTTGTTTTAAACAATGTTTTCCGCTGCTTTATGAATTACTTATTATGTTGTTTATGGATGACTTGTGTGTGAATGATATTCATGACGCCTTGTATAATATGAATGTGTTGGACTGCGGTTGACTATTCGTATTGTACGGCGGGTTGTTGACGTGTCCGGGGAGGTCCGGGGCGTGACAATTAAGTTGGTATCAGAGCCTTAGTCCATAAACTTCATAATGAAGTCTCAAAATTCTCTTTTTGAAAAGATTTTGAAAACCATGAGCATAGAAGTTTTGTACTTGGAGAGCTTTTGGTACTTGGGTTGCAAAGTCTCTAATTGTTAAGATGGTACCCTTAGCAATTGGTATGGCGGTGACTCGAGCCAAAATGTGTCTTAAGTACCTATCCGTCAATTGACATTTGATACGAGTCTAACGACTCCTTCCAAATTTCTTTCAGAAATGGACCGTGGTGGCAGGATTACTAGGAGAAACCCGACGGGTCGTGTACCAGTGGAGACTGGACAGGGCAGTCGAAGGACCTCTAGGGCATCTAGAGGAGCTGGCCGTGGAGGCCAATCACAGACCGTGAGTGACGGTCATGTCGACACGGAAAGTGAAACCTACTGGTCCTATGAGGACTCGACCTATCGACCGGAAACTGAACCGGTTGAGACCCCTTATGAAGGGGATGATGATGATGTAAGTGATGAGGAGGAAAATGGCTCCTTAGCACGGATTGAAGCACTACTTCAACAGTACCACCGTGAGCGTGAGGAGAGGAGGGAACGCCGAAGGCGCCGGGCTGGGCAACCTTCGGGCGGGGCTTCAAGAGGGAGAAGCCATGGCGACTCTAGGGCCCACATTGAACCACATGGGGGTCGGGGTGATGGAGGTCCAATCATAAGGATCTCCAAATACATCAAAGAGGCACGAGACTTGGGGTGCAAACCGTTCGATGGGACGGGTGACATCTCCGTTTCGGCACAATGGATTAAGCGGCTGAATGAGGCAGCCCTGGACATGCAACTCACCCCCGAATATAAACTAAGGGTTGCGGTGAGATTGCTTGAAGGTATGGCATCCAAGTGGTGGGATGGGACCAAAGGCAAATATGGCGAGACCGTCACTTGGGAGAATTTCCGACAGGAATTCTTTGCCCAATATTACTCGGATTTTGAGGTGAACAAGAAAGTGAGGGAATACACCCTTCTAACCCAAGGGGGTAACATGACGGTGAGGGAACTTGAGTACAAGTTCAGGGATCTTGCCGATTACATACCTGAGTATGCTTGTGACGAGAACCGGATGGTGAACCACTTCTGGGATGCTCTAGACTTGGAGATACGTGACAGGGCAACACAATTGCCTAACATGACGTTTGCCCAAGTGGTTGACCAAGGGTTGAAAGGAGAGAAGCAATGGGAAGAAAGGAAGAAGAGAGACGCCGAGGAGGCGAAAAAGAGAAAGTGGGAGAGTCATGGCTCCCAAGGTTCCAACAAAAAGGGGAACCACGGAGGAGGATCTTTCCGGGCACCACCGCCACCATATAGGGGGAACCAAGGCCCGAGTGGGCAAGGCGCGAGGTCACAAACCTCAGTGGTAGCTCGTTGCAACAATTGCAAGAAGAACCACTCCGGTAAATGTCGCGACCCCCCTAGATGTTTTCAATGCGGGGATGCCGGGCATTTGAAGGCACATTGCCCACAATTGAGTGGGGCAAGGACATCGGGACCGAGTAGCGGTCCGACGGGTACACGGAATCAAACCGGAGCTTCTCAAGCGAGCCGGGGACATGGGGGAGCGAGTACGAGCAACGCGCCATCCGTGAATCAAGGAAGAACTCAAGCTAGAGTTTATGCGATGACGGAGGCGGATGCTCGAGCTAACCCGGACTCGGTTGCAGGTATTGCCTCTTGCACAATTGTATTTTGTCCATATTTAATCCATAAATTGATGACATAAGTCATAGGGATTGAGTGCGAGCCATTTCGGGGTCAAACGGCGAAATTCGGGCCAAAACTGACCAAAAACAGGGACGCACGATCGTGCGTCCAACCCCACGCACGATCGTGCGTAGGGGACAGTGGTTCCAGGTGAATTTCGCGCAGGACGCACGACCGTGCGTGCCGGTACGCACGCCGTGCGTGGACGCACGATCGTGCGTGGCCGGGTACGCACGATCGTGCGTAACCGGCAGTGGTCGGATTCGACGTTTCTTCACGCACGCACGACCGTGCGTGTCCCACGCACGACCGTGCGTGGACCCCAGCCGCCCGAAACCTAAGTTTTTCCTCTCGTTCTTCTACGATTGGACCCCCGTTTGATTCCGAACATCTATATGAACCTATTAACCTCCAAAAAGTGTCCTAAACCATTAGAAAAGGTATCTTACATGGTGTATAAATGTAGGAACATTAAAGATTAATGGGAAGGATGCACGAATCCTTATCGATACCGGAGCGCAACGTTCGTTCGTGAGTGAGGCGTTCGCCGAGGACTTAGGGGTACAATCAACACCAATGACGCACACATTAGTGGTATCAACACCACTAGGGGATGATGTCGAAAGAACTAGTTATTATCCATCTTGTGAGGTGGAAATTGATGGCCAAACCTTGACGTGTGATTTCGTACCGCTGAGTATGATGGAGTTCGATGCAATCCTAGGGATGGATTGGCTAGAAAAGCATCATGCTAGGGTAGATTGCTACACAAAGGTTTTGGAACTCGAAGGCAATAATGGGGACACCCTACGCTTCGAGGGGGATCGAGGCAAATCAAACAGTTGTATTATTTCCGCCGTGAGAGCGAGAAGTATGATGAGAAAGGGATGTCACGCATATCTAGCATACGTGGTTGACAAAACCAAGGAGGAAACGAACATTGACGACGTGAGGGTGGTTTGTAAGTACCCGGATGTCTTCCCTAAAGACCTACCGGGGCTTCCACCTGATAGGGAGATTGAATTTGTGATCGAGGTCGAGCCTGGTACCAAACCAATCTCCATACCGCCATACCGTATGGCACCCGCTGAACTTAACGAGTTAAAAACCCAATTGCAAGAGCTTTTGGATAACGGTTTCATCAGACCAAGCCACTCCCCATGGGGGGCACCGGTCCTTTTTGTGAAAAAGAAGGATGGAACACTTCGAATGTGCATTGACTATCGTCAACTGAACAAGGTCACAATCAAGAATAGGTATCCCTTGCCTAGGATTGATGACTTGTTTGATCAACTACGAGGAGCAACCGTGTTTTCAAAGATTGACTTGAGGTCGGGGTACCATCAATTGAAGATTAAGGAGGATGACATACCGAAGAGTGCTTTCCGCACGAGATATGGGCATTTTGAGTTCCTTGTTATGTCGTTTGGGTTAACAAATGCCCCGGCGGCATTCATGGACTTAATGAACCGAGTATTTCACAAATACTTGGACCGATTCGTGATTGTGTTCATTGATGACATCTTGATCTACTCAAAGAGTGAGGAAGAGCATGAGGAGCACTTGATACTTGTTCTTGAGACACTACGGGAGAAGCAACTCTATGCCAAATTTTCTAAATGTGAATTTTGGCTTAAGGAGATTGGCTTTCTCGGGCACGTGGTTTCTGGATTGGGAATTGCTGTTGATAACAAGAAGATAGAAGCCATTACCGAGTGGGAGAGGCCAAAGAACGTTAAGGAAATTCGTAGTTTCCTTGGATTGGCAGGCTACTACAGGAAGTTCGTGGAGAAGTTCTCTGTTTTGGCATCACCATTGACGAAGCTCACTCGTAAAGGAGCTAAGTTTGTATGGGATGACAAATGTGAGAAGGGGTTCATGGAACTAAAGAAACGGTTGACCGAGGCACCGGTACTTGCATTACCCAAACAGGGTGTGGGGTACGATGTCTATAGTGACGCGAGCATCCAAGGGTTTGGGTGTGTACTGATGCAGGAAGGGAGGGTAATTGCCTATGCTTCACGACAGTTGAAGAAGCATGAGGTAAATTATCCTACCCATGATTTGGAGCTGGGAGCGGTGGTGTTTGCACTGAAGATTTGGAGACATTATCTCTACGGAGAGACATGTCACATATATACCGATCATAAGAGCTTGAAATACGTGTTTACTCAGAAAGAGCTAAACATGAGACAGAGACGGTGGATGGAGTTGATAAAAGACTACCATCTGGTGATAGAGTATCACCCAGGCAAGGCTAACGTGGTGGCAGATGCTTTGAGCCGGAAAAGCTCGTCTGGGCCATTGCTAGCTAATTTGAGGGCATTAAGAGCCCAACTGGAGGTATCCAGCGATGGTGCCTTATTGGCACGATTTGAGGTGAGACCCACTTTACTTGATGAGATCAAGAAGGGTCAGGAAACCGACGAAGAAATTATGAAGATCCGGGAACGCATGCAAGCGGGACCGGTGGAGGACTTCCGAGAAAGAGATGACGGTCTCTTATTATTTCGTGACCGAGTGTGTGTACCGGCAGATGACGAGCTCCGAAAGTCCATCTTAGAGGAAGCTCATTCATCGGCTTATGCCATGCACCCGGGGGGCACGAAGATGTACCGTGACCTGAAGGAGAGTTACTGGTGGTCAGGTATGAAGAGAGAAATAGCCGAATATATCAGTCGATGCCTTACTTGTCAACAAGTTAAGGCAGAGCATCAGCATCCAGCGGGCTTATTGCAACCACTTTCCATTCCTGAATGGAAGTGGGAACACGTGACTATGGATTTTGTGGTAGGGTTGCCACGGACGATCAGGAACTATGATGCAGTTTGGGTTGTTGTAGATAGGCTCACAAAGAGTGCACACTTCTTACCTATCAACACTACTTACCCACTCGAGAGGTTAGCCAAATTGTACACGGATGAGATCGTGAGGCTACATGGGGTTCCAGTGACCATTGTATCCGATAGAGACCCACGATTCACATCACGTTTTTGGCCGAAATTTCAGGAGTCTATGGGAACGAGGTTGAAGTTCAGTACTGCTTTCCACCCACAGACGGACGGGCAGTCTGAAAGAGTCATACAGATCTTAGAAGACATGCTGAGGGCTTGCGCATTAGAGTTCCAAGGAAGTTGGGACAACCACTTAGCACTTGTGGAGTTTGCCTATAACAACAGTTATCAGGCAAGCATCGGCATGCCTCCATACGAGGCATTGTATGGGAGGAGATGCCGTACACCATTATGCTGGGATGAGGTTGGCATGGCCAAACTCGAGGGTACTGAGTTGGTTGAGGTCACCAAGTCAAAGGTGAAGTTGATTCGAGAGAGACTCAAGGCGGCTCAGGATAGGCAAAAGAGTTATGCGGATAAGCGTCGAAGGACCTTAGAGTTTAAGGTTGACGACGAGGTATTCCTGAAAGTTTCTCCTTGGAAAGGAATCATTCGATTCCAAACCCGAGGAAAGCTTAACCCACGATATATAGGCCCATTCAGAATTATAGAGAGGGTTGGGGCCGTAGCATATCGTCTACAGTTGACTCCTGAGTTGGAGAAGATTCATAATGTATTTCACGTGTCCATGCTTAAGAAGTATGTGCATGATCCTTCTCATGTGTTGGAGAAGCCGCCCGTGGAGGTACGTGAAGATTTGAACTATGCCGTGCAACCGGTAAGAGTTATTGACAGAAAAGTGAAGAAACTGAGGAGTAAAGAAGTTCCAATGGTTAAAGTCCTTTGGAAGAGTGACCGGGTCGAAGAAGAGACTTGGGAAACAGAAGCCTTGATGAGGAAGCAGTATGCATTCCTATTTGAGTAAAGCTGTGAATTTCGGGGACGAAATTCCTGTTAAGGGGGGGTGAACTTGTGACACCGCTCCCGAAGGTCCTTGAAAATTTGATTTGAATATTCAAAGCTTATGTATTGGATTTCTGATTCCCAAACATTTTGTAAAACGATCAATGTTCTACGTAGTGCATGGTTGAATATCGTACTGTTCAAACTCGTACATTAGTGTCGGGTTTCGCAAATACTTACTCGGGACTTATTAATAAATAAAAGAGCCCAACATTATCTATATAAGTGATCGAAGGATTAAAGAAGAATACAAATGCCTATAACCCCATCTTTGGCATTTTTGAGCTAAATAATGGGAGTAGGATTTTCCTTCTATAACATCCATCAAGTAAATTATTGGGATGAGCCTACACATATTGGAGGTCAATAATGTGATTTAGGAAGTTGACTTGTTCTAAATAAATTAGGATGAGTACAAAAAGACATCTTTGACAAAGATAAAACAATAGGACCCATCTTCCCATTTTTTGGAAGTATTGATAGACATTTTGGACCCCAAATTGAATGGGACCATTTGGGAACCATCCCACATGACCTTGGTACCTGCAAAACAAAGGAAAATGGGTGAGACAAAGATGTGGGGCGGACTTTTGACTCATGAACTACAACATTACAAAAAGGAAATAAAAGAGGAGGTCCACACCATGTTTGATTGCAATCAAATACCCTACCCTTCTTTTTGGTGAACCACATGCTCTCTTAGCATGATTGAGGCCTCCTAATACACTCCCCCTACACCCCATTCGAACTCCCAAGATAAGAGAGAAAGAGAGAGCCACATACTCCAAGGGAGAGGTGAAGAGAGAAGCTGGCCGCAGGACTCGTTTTCCAGAAAATAGGGCTACTTGTTTGATCCATAACTTGAGCTTCACTCGTCCAAATAAGGCGTATGATATACCAAAAGAAAGCTCTCAAGACGAGGAATCCGTGAAGGTCTGGTTTGCATAAATCGGAGTAGTGTAAGGCCTCCAAATCGACCGATCAAAACACGACCTCGCAGAATACGTTTTTGTATTCAAAGTAAGTTTGAATCCAAAACCTTCCTCTCTATTGTCTAAATCATATAAATGATTGAAGAACTATTATACACTGATTGAAGTGTATAAAATGTTATTATTATGTGACTTTAATTGTTGGAAAGGTTAGATACTAACCTAGACAAAACCTTGAAAGGTTAGGGAACGAATTCGTCGGGAAACACCCGTTCTAGGGACTGTTTTTGCATTTTCGGTTAGGAGTTGAACTAGCACTTTGAAGGGGCTGTTTAACACTCCATTCCAAGCAAGGAATCAGTTCCAAATCCACCTTGACCAAAGCTTTGACCATTGGACCAAGAAGGGAAAGTTTAAAGCTCAATTGAGGTGAGGATTGACATCTAATTGCTTACAACTTGTAGGTTAAGCATGAGATTACCTAAATGCTTAAATCATGATTTTTCATGGATTATGATGACTATATATTGATGAAATATTGATATAGTTGCCAAAGAATGAATTTGGAATGATTTGAGAAAGTATGAATAATATGAGATTAAATGAGTATAAATGAACTATTTTGTGAAAATGGGCATTTTGCTCATGTATGAATCATGTGGATACATAAATGAATATTTGTGTATTGAGATTGAATACTTAAGTTGCTGCTACATAATTATAAATATGTAGAGAATTACAAACAATGAGGATAATGGTACGATAACAATAATCTTAATAGTATTGGAATACTAGTTAGTGATTATTGGAACTTGTTGATTAAATTGATCCTAGGGATTGGATTGTATGAAAGGTACTTGAATGTAGTTCAAGTGTATATGATAACTTAGTATGGAACTAAGGTTAAGTTATGGGGAGTCTTTAAGGATGACCCATGGTAGTTTAATGATATGTCAATTCTAGGCATAGGGTTGCTTGAGAATTGGACCTTAATGCATGGTGATGTGATAGAGCCGAGCTCTAGAATGCATGTAAGGTGTAGACTTGGAGTCTATGTATTGTATAGCTAGAGCCGAGCTCTAGGACTTGCGTGGTGATGTGATAGAGCCGAGCTCTAGAACGCAAGGTAGGGAAATTGACCCGAGGTATATGAATTGTATGGTGATGTGGTAGAGCCGAGCTCTAGAATACAATGTCATGTACTAGGGTTGGACTCTAGGAGTTGTCGTGGCTTATAGTCACGGGGTTGGGAATGATGATTTCCAAATGAACATGGGCCCACGGGCCGGCTACTTGACTTTTATATAAAGTAAGTATATTTTTAAACGGGGTAACTTAGGGTTACAATCATAATATACTATCACCCTATTTGAGGGTCTTGTGTTTGAAATACTTGTTGTATATCTATTAGATGCCTGCCACACCAGCACTTTATAGCCCTATAGAGTGCTGACCCCTTCGGGGGCGTCCCACCACCATTTTTCAGGTTGAGGCTAGAGCTTGCTTCCTGTGCTCGTTGCTCGAGAGATCATCTAGGAGCGAAGACTTGGTTCGTGCTTCCTCCATTCGGATTTTAAACATTAATAAACATGCTCATGGATATTTTATTATAGAGCTTGCGTGCTCATGAATAGCCCTGTGTGGCCCTTTGTTTTAAACAATGTTTTCCGCTGCTTTATGAATTACTTATTATGTTGTTTATGGATGACTTGTGTGTGAATGATATTCATGACGCCTTGTATAATATGAATGTGTTGGACTGCGGTTGACTATTCGTATTGTACGGCGGGTTGTTGACGTGTCCGGGGAGGTCCGGGGCGTGACAATGCTGAACTGGATTAGCAGTCAAATAGGAAGCTGAGATATTTTCACAAAATAGCTGAACCGGTGCAGTAACAGGATAGCCGAGCACAAATAATACATAACGAATATGCAAAGTATCCTGAACAGTGTAAGCAACGGCTCTATACTCGGCTTTTGTAGAGGACTTGGAGACAATAGGCTGCTTCTTAGACTTCCATGAGACAAGATTTGGGCCCAAGAACACTGCAAAGCCCGTCGTGGAACGGGACGTATCTGGACAACCTGCCCAATCAGCATCGGAGTAAGCAATGACACAGGTTGCCCGAGAGGTAGGCTGAAGCCACAATCCATGATCAAGAGTCTCCTACAAGTATCTAAAAATCCTCTTGACTGCAAAAAGATGAGTAGTACGGGGAGCATGCATAAACTGAGACACTAAATGCACAGCATAAGTAATATCAGGTCGTGTCAAAGTTAAATATTGTAACCCACCAACCATACTGCTATACTCAGTGGCATCAACAAGAAGCTCCCCATCAGTGAGGGATAAAGAAGTGCGAGTAGCAAGTGAATTATGGACGGACTTGAGGGTATGGAGATGAAAACGAGATAGAAGATCAGACACATATTTGTACTGAGAGAGAAACAAACCTTTATTGGAGCGAACAGCCTGGACTCCTAGAAAATAATGAAGATCACCCAGATCTTTCATAGCAAAATGCTGAGCAACAAGCTGAATAAAAGAGGTGATAGCAACGGAAGAGTTGCTAGTAATGATTATATCATCAGGGTATAGTAATAAATAAATGACATTATTATTTTGGCGATAAATAAATATTGAATTATCAGATTTGCTGCATGTGAAATGATGAGATAGTAGAAAACTACTAAACCTATGAAGCCATGCCCGCGGGGCTTGCTTAAGACCATAAAGGGCTTTGCGCAAACGACATAAATGATTAGGAAACAAAGGATGAATAAAACCTCGTGGTTGACGCATATATACCTTGTGAAATGATGAGATAGCAGAAAACTACTAAACCTATGAAGCCATGCCCGCGGGGCTTGCTTAAGACCATAAAGGGCTTTGCGCAAACGACATAAATGATTAGGAAACAAAGGATGAATAAAACCTCGTGGTTGACGCATATATACCTCCTCAATAAGATGACCATGTAAAAATGCATTTTTAACATCCAACTGACGAATGACCCACCCAAAAGAAATAGCTAGTGTAAGAACAATACGAATAGTGGTGGATTTAATGATTGGACTAAAAGTTTCAGAAAAATCTACACATGTCTGTTGATTAAACCCCTGAGCAAAACCCCTGAGCAACTAAACGAGCTTTATGACACTCAATAGACTCATCCGAATTACATTTAGTCTTATAAATCCACTTGGAGCCCACAACATTTTTAGCATTAAGCATTGTTTCACTCTTTCTATTTTTGGTTTTGATCACTCTCTAGTTATGATACCAAATGTTAACCAAAAGCTTAAACTGAAATATAAATCTTGGAGAAGGCTACAAAACATGAAGGAGCAAAAAAATATTGTAATATATATTATTGAACATTATAAGGCTTTATATAGTTTTTACAAAGCTGAAACAAATCATGCACGTATAAGTGAACTGAACTAACTCCTACGAATAAGGTCAACCACACGTTTGAATACATGGATAACAAAAAGATTTGATCAATTTCTAAAAAACAGCTAACCAACTATAAGTTATTCATCAACATAGAAATAAACAATAACTTTGCCACGTGTGCATGGCATCGAACAACGTTGCATGCGTTCCTATGTTCAAGCTTGATCAAAATTCAACACTTCTTCCAAAAAATTCAATGGTAGTGATATACATACTAGATGTTGTAGCGTTCTCTCGTATCTCGAACTGACTTATCGAATTATCTCTAGAAGAGTCATCACCAGCTTGTTGCGTACTCTGCGTGGCACCATTTGTCGCGTCAATAAGTCCTTGAAGGTCAAACTGACTTATCGAATCAACTCTAGAAGAGTCATCAACACCTTGTTGCGTACTCTGCATGGCACCATTTGTTGCGTCAATAAGTCCCCGAAGGTCAGATCCTACTTCTATCATGCATGGTCGATTTCTTGGCTCCTCTTTCAAACATTTCATTGTGGTTAATGCAACTGCCTTCATTTGTTCCATATTGCCCTCCACGACAAGAAAATGGTCAAATATGTCAACCAAACGCTCTTCCTGCATAATCGGCTTAAAGGAGCACACCATAAGGTTGTTAGCGCTTCGAATATAGTTAGAGGTCTTTCTCGGGTCAATAATTCTACTACTATTACACCAAATGCGCATACATCATGATTGTCAGTCAGTTTACGCGTTTGGTGTAGTACTAGTAGAAATTATTGACCAAAGAAAGACCTCTAACTATATTCGAGAGCACTAACGATCTTTTGGTGAGCACCTTTAAGTCAACTATGCAGGAAGAGCGTTTGGTTGACACATTAGACCATTTTCTTGTCATGGAGGGCAATATGGAACAAATAAAGGCAATTGCATTAACCACAATGAAATGTTTGAAAGAGGAGCCAAGAAATCGACCATGCATGATAGAAATAGGAGCTGACCTTCGGGGACTTATTGACGCAACAATTGGTGCCATGCAGAATACACAACAAGGTGTTGATGACTCTTCTAGAGTTGATTCGATAAGTCAGTTTGACCTTCAAGGACTTATTGACGCGACAAATGGTGCCACGCAGAGTACGCAACAAGCTGGTGATGACTCTTCTAGAGATAATTCGATAACTCAGTTCGAGATACGAGAGAACGCTACAACATCTAGTATGTATATCACTACATACCGTTGAAAATTTTGAAGAAGTGTTGAATTTTGATCAAGCTTGAATATAGGAACGATCTAATTAATCGCACTCCAATGTTTTGACGGGAAGAAATACAAGGACGGATCCAAGATCCATGATCTAGCATTTTACGTCACCACTAGAATGGCTGGCATCAGATGCATATACCAGAATTATGATGAAGACTAGAAAAGCCACACGTTTTGTATTGATAGTCATAACCTGAGAATAAGAGATCATATAAGAGTCATAAGTTAATGTTTTGCGTACTTTAGCTTGAAGCCTGAGTCTTATGAGATTTGTATATTGTATACTTCGTATATTTGAAAGACAACTTCTGAGCTAGATAGGCTATCAGTGACTAAGTAAAATTATTAAAATCAAAATTACTTACAATATAATGAAAGATGTGTACGTGTTCTGAAAGTGCGAATTTGAATTTTGTTCGTTTTTCTCTTTCTAGCATTAGAGCTTCTGAAAATACGTTGTTCGCTTATTCTCGTGTAGCAATGTTGTGATTTGTGAGTGGACAAGTAATCTTTTTACATATTTAAATACGCAAGGTAGGTGTAAGAATCTGTTTTGTTCATCCGAATTGAATGTTTTTTATCTTAACATATTAAGATCTAATATGATTTGATTTGAACTTTTATGACTTGATGTGAATCTTTCCGGCCTGATCTGAATTTTTTTTATCAGGCGATCTTATCTGAATCTCTCTTACTGATCTGAATTTTTCTGATTTGGTCTGAACCTATCAAAAATAATATTATTTTTAAAAGATACACATCCACCAGTACTTTTCAAATAAGTTATACCTTGTTTAACCAAATGAATCTTCTCGAAATAAATAATGGGTTTTGAATTGCAATTTTTGTCTACCAAAAGGGGTGTTTGTCAGTCACGAGGAGCTACGTTTCCTTAATATTACAATAGTTTGTATGAGATTATTTATTTATTTTTAGAGTAATGTGTAGTATGATATTGCTAATTCACATGCATTTAGATGGTGCATATTATATTTGTATTAATGCTAAAATAAGTTAAAGTTTATTAAATTATATGTGCAATAAATTGTTTTTAGAACGCAAGAAGTAAATAAATTGTGTATTTAATGTCAAGAAACATTTATATATTGTGTTCACTTCACATAATCTAAAAATTGTTTAGTTAGTGTGCCTGGTATTTAATATCATTATACGTAGTATATCTTAAAAAAATGAGTACTAATTATCTAATTATGATAACTAAACATTACAAAACTAGAAATTTTTATATAATACTACCTCCGTCCCGAAACGGTTAGCCTTATTGACTTTTCTTGGTCAATGATAACAAAATTTGAACAATGATTTTAATTATTATATTTTTATATAATTTTAAACTTGATAGTTTATGCTTTGATGACAATATTTTGAACAAGGAACATTTTGATATAACTTTCATATTAAACAATATCATTAGTCAAAGTTGATTGGTGAATTTGACAAACCTTTTCGCGACGGGGGGAGTAAGTATTATAACTCTTAAACAATGAGTTGTTCTATTGTTTATTTGTTTAAGTAATGATAAATTATTTTAGAAGTTTTTTCTTTTAAATATATTATTAAGTACGTAGTATTATAATATACCAATCAGATCCTACTGATAGCAACAAGGAAGACTAGCCATTCAAACAAAGTCTGCTTCTAGCAAAGCACAAACCTTTTCGCTCTTTTTGGAAGCAAAAATCACATATTAAATGGCTCAAGGAAGGGACGTTAATACTCAAATTTTCCACTCTTTTGTTAATATCAGAAGGAAGAGACAGAGTATTACCCAAATTTCAGACTCTGCTGGGAACATTTACACTAGTCAAGGGGACACTGGAAATGCTGTTGTTACTTTCTTTTCAAATTTGTCCTCTGTTCGATAGGAGGTGGATTTCACTGAAATCCTGCACCATATTCCTACATTGGTTAGCTCGGATGATAACCAATTAGACCTGCACAAAACCGGGCCGCAATAACATATGGGCGGGCTTGGGTTAGGGTGTAGGCCCGTTCGGGCCGATAAGCCCAGCCCGCTACATTTAATATATATATATATATATATATATATATATATATATATATATATATAATTTATATAATTTATTTACATGTACATTTATATTTTCTAATATAATTTATCTTTATACATATTTATAGTTTATTATGTTTAAATTTAGGTTTTTAGATCTGAACCACTAGCCCAACTAATATAGTATCTATTTTTGTACTTAAAGATAATACTTTGTGCTTGAATTTTAAATTTTAGATATAGTTTCTCATTACTATTTTTGTGTAAGTATTATTTTTGTATGTGGTGAAAGACCTATAAACATTACACGCATATTAACAATTTTTTAAATGTTGTAATATTAGTTTTAAAGTATTAAAAAAAATCGAAAAATATAAAGTTTTTCCGGGCCCGGAGACCCGGTGGACTACCGGGCCCGCTCTTATGGGCGGGTATGGACATGGGGTTAGGCCCGTTTTTGCGGGCCGGGCCGGGCCCGCCCACATATGATGGGCAAAAAAATTATAAAAAGCCCGGCCCGAGCCCGGGCCGAACCCGTTTTTGTGCAGGTCTATAACCAATTATTATTAAAAATGCCAAACATTGAAGAGGTGAAAGGTGCACTATGGGATCTTAATAAAGACAGCGCCAAGACAACGTAACGCCCCAGGTGATTTCAATAGGAGATTTTTTAGAAAATGTTGGGATTTTGGGATTTCAAGATTTCTTTTTGGGAAATCCTGTCCCACAAGGTATAGGAGACAGACCTAGCCTTTTCTCTTAATTTAGACCTATCTGTCTATCTACCTTTATCAGTAAGGTCTGCACAAAGGTTTTGGCCTCCAGATTGAATTTAATTCTTCCTAAAATTATTTTAATTAAACAAGCTGGCTTTATGAAAATTAGGGAGATTTCATACCACATTTTGATTGCCCAGGAAATGATCCAAGCTATTGATAAAAAATCAGGGGGTATGTGGTTATTAAACTGGACATGACAAAGGCTTTTGAAAAGGTTTCTTCGAAATTCTTAGAGGCTGTGTTGGGAATATTTGGTTTCAGTTCACATTTCATTACTATTATTCTGAAATTTCTTCTGAGTACATCTCTTTCTATATTGGTAAATGGTTTACCCCATGGTTTTTTCAAACCAACTAGGGGCGTGAAACAGGGAGATCCATTATCTCCTTTTTTTTATTTGGGATTAGGTAAAAAATACTACGTAATACTAATTAAAAAGGTTTTGGAAAAACATAGTTTCACTTTTAATAATTTCAAACAATATGACTGTGCGGGTGTGCCGTTTAGAAACTTAGGATTAATATGCCAAATTTTTTCCCCAGTCCTGCCTAGTCATAAGGCGGTAAATTAATACGAAGTCATTTGCGTGTGTTTCCTAGGCAACGAACAAAAATAGAAAAAAATAATCCATAATTTATTTGATTGTTATATTATACTACGTAATATTTTTAAATTATATTATTCTTCAATTATAATTAGAAGGTGATCATTTACAATAACTTGATCTGATAATTACAATTACACGTCCAATCAGTTTCATTTTTTATTCGATCAATTAACGTTATTTGATCTGATCAGTTACAATTATCTGTTTAACCAGTTACAATTATCTGATCCGACCAGTTACAATTACCCGATTCGATTAGTTACAGTTACCTAATTAATCAGCTACAATTAGCAAACCAACCAGTTACAATTATCCGACCCGCCAGTTACAATTATTCGACGGATCGGTTATAATTACTCGACCCGTCAGTTACAATTACCTGACTAATCAGTTACAGTTTGATGGATAGTGTACCCGGGGGGTAGCTTATCCGGGGGTTATTATGAGAATAACCTAGAGAGAAGTCAGAGCAAACAAGTAGGAGAGAGAGGCGATTGTATTAATGAACTCGAGATGTTCTGATCCTTTACAAGAGGAATAAGGGCCGCTATTTATAGCGGCCATAAGTGCGATGAGAGTACATGTGTCAACAATCTGACGGCCGAGGGGTCACCTCAATCGGGGTGGCACCGACACTCGCATGTGCACCGCATTAAATGCGGTGGGTGGATGTGATGCCGCATTGAATGCAGTGGTTGCTTGTCTTCAGAGGAAGCTTCGTAGAGCGTAGACCCTTCGGCCTGGATCATATGGCCGAAGGCTTCATGCATGACCGAAGGCTTCATGCATGGCCGAAGGCTTCATGCATGGCCGAAGGCTTCATGTATGGTCGAAGGCTTCATACGGTCGAGGGC